TCCTTAGAAACTATGGCAGGAGGCTCCTGTATTTTGTCTTTTATGTACAATGTTTAGTTAAGGTTCTGGCATAACCGGTAAGACGAGTATGGGTAAGGAAAGCCCATTTAAAAGGTGCAGATTCTAAAATTATGTGAGCTGGGAGTTGGACAGTAGTGGTCATTTATGGACAGCAGACTGTAGGCCAGGAAAAGCAATTCTGAAATTGGATGGGTGCAAAGGAGGAAAAAATAAAATAGCTCTGCAGACCAAGTGGTTTTACATTATTTTTATAGTGCTTGTGAAATAGTCATTAAGAACTGAGACAGGTAATGCAAATAGCAGGGGGCGAGGATCTGAAAATGTAATGGGGTAAGATAATGTTAGATTTAATTTTGAGGAGGAAAGGGATAAGAGAGGAAGGCAGAGTTAGTAAAATGTGTAGAGTCTTAACGTTTGTCTCCTTATGAACGTGAACACTCCTTCCCTCACTGGGACAGTATGAGGAATGCCCTGGTCAAATCTCAGTAAGTTATTGTGTACCATTCACTGGCTGATGAATGTTTTTCATAATCTGATGGACTTCAGCCTATTGTCATTACTTTAAGTCCTGGGAATGGCCTTGCCCCTCTATCACCACTCTCAGGAATAGATAGCAGATTAAGAAATGTGCTACCAACACCTTAAACTGGTAGTTTCCCAACTTCAGTGATCCAAAGTCAACAGTAATAAGGAAGCAACATGCTCATTGGCATTACTTACCTTTTCTCTCCATCTCAGCTGTAGTTTGAGTCTGGGAGTCTTAATATACTGCTTACTAGTGATGGGTTGGAAACAGCTGCAGAACAGATTTGTGGCAGCTGCTCCCTACTCTAGGCCACAGAGATGCTCTGGGGTTTGACTTGTCTCGTATCAGATGTCCCTAAGCAATTCTCAGAAGGAGAACAGGGACAGCACATTGCTCTTCCCACCTGGTTTTGTTGTTGAGTTTGTTTTCCAGCTCTCTCTCTAGGGTCTATGCATTAATAAGCAGGTCAATATAATAACTTTGTTATGAGAAAGAAATGTAGAAATAATATTTTCATAAATTAATTAAGGGGGAGATTAAATTGAAAATTTTCTTTAGTTTTGGGGAGTATTGACATATCTTGCCTTCTTACCAATGTATATCCTTCCATGGCACAGCTCTCCCGAGACAACTGCCATTAGGAGATTAGCAAAACTATGCTTGCCTAAAAGTTGGGACAGCCTCAGGAGTTCCCCTGAGAGAGTGGATTGTATTGTTCTGGGAAACCACCCTGTTCACCACAATAGAGAGAGAGAGCCAAAAGCATCTCTCTGGGCCACAGCTGCTATATTTTGGTAACAGGACATTCTATAAAGGGACAATTATGGATACAGATAACTACTCCCATAAAAATTATATAAATGCTGGATGGGATCCCAAGAAACTACCTACTTCTACTTGCTGTTCTTAAAAAGCTCTAATGCTGGAGATACCATAGTCTCCCTGGAAGGTTTGATTGCTTCACAGTGCTTCACTATCTACATAATGTCTAACCTGAATACCTTAGGAGTCTGAACCCATGATTTCTTGTTGTATCCAGAAGTTTCACAACAGATTGTTTCTTCTCTCCTTTTAGCAGCCTGTGAAAAATGCCATAATAAAATCAAAGAATCACAGAATGTTAAGAATCTTTCAACATTTTAGTTCAGAAAGGGACCCCTGGGAATTATCTAATCCAGTCTTCTACTCAAAGCAGGCCTAACTTCCAAGTTAGCACACAATCATGTCCAGTCAAGTTTTGAGCTTTTCCAGGGACAGAGATCCCACAATGGCTCCAGGCTTCTGTTCCAGTTCTTTACCAGCCTCTTAGGATCCTGGGTTGGCACAACCTTTTCTGTAACAGGGCAGCATTGTTGATTTATGATCATCTGGTGACCTCCACCAATCCCCAGGCCTTTTTCTTTAGGACAGCTGTATTTGTTTTTTAATGGACTAGATGGGCTAATTCCTTGTCCTGTGTTTGAGTAGCTGATTATCTCTGCCTAAGTGCTGATTTTGCAGTTGATCATATTGAATACCATCCCATTTATGTCTAATCTTATTTCCAGTTTGGCAAGAGCATTTTGAATTACAAACCTTTAACATTTCTAGCAGTCCTTCCTGACATGGTGTTGTCTGTATATTGCATGCTAATATGCCCTTCCACTGAAAGCATAATACTCTCTTTCCTTTTGTGGGTGGCCATATAGGTTTGTTTATTTGCACCTCTCCCAGGGTGATGACTGAAGTGCAGAGAAAGAGTCAGTCTGCACTGGATTTTGCTAATAATTTGACTTTGCAAAGATAAAACAGCAAATGGAAAGGATTCAGAATCTATTTAAAGGTGATTCCAGTGTGTTTGAGATCAAGCATGTGACAAGTTAGGAGCAGAGACAATTTATCTGTAGGCTTTACACAGAGGAAGAACATTTATAAATCGTTATTTAAATGGATTTATTTTGAATTGTTTAATGTTTTAAGCTCATGGTTTGAAAGCTAGCACTTGGTGAGAGTTCTGTGCACAATGAGTGTGTTTGGCCTTGAGCATATGTGTCTGGTTTTATTTAAGCCAAGCTGGCCACAGTCGTTCCAGCCTGCATGTGATCTCATTCCATGCTCCTTGTCATGGTATCTGCACACCATCCAGCAATATATTAACAGCGTGAGTAATGTGTCTTATGTTGATTATTCTGTCACCAAGGGAGAAGGGTGTCTTGTCTGGTAGGGAACTCAGATTGTCTTAAACAAAGCTCTATTTTACACTGGAGAAAAGTCAAGAGCTGTGCCTTGTGTTAGGAGAAAGAGTTCATAAGGTGTGTGCTGGCTCTTGGGTCTTTGATAAGGCCATTTTGGGTCTTAGACCAGTCACAACCAGAGAAAACTGTGGTTTCTGCATTCTGGAAAGGCCATTTGCCCTGCTGCCAGCATGCCGCATCAGGTCATACTCTGTAACACTTCGGGCACCTCCGAATTCTCCTATTAGCCTGGGAAAAAATGCTCTTAATAATTAAGTTTGTATTATGCATTTAATGCACTGACCAGGTTGGTGTTAGAAATACAATGTGTTGTGTGTCATCTGAATGGCTGAAACGTCTCCAGGCTGCAAGGAGGAGAAAGAAGGCTTGAAAAATCTTGTTCAGCTGCTCTCTGTTCATATTTGTTCATTTTGTGCAGTGAACAAGCTGAAATCTGTGCCCCTGCTGGGCCTGTTTACAGTGTGTGTTACCCATAGGGCAAGTTTTCTGCTACGGTCATCTGTCAGATTGGAAGGGAAGCGCCATTGCTAGTGGATGTCATTAGAGGCTGCATCGTTCTCTTTGCATATTCACTGAACTAAACTGCAGCCTCAGCTCCTGTCTGTGAGATAAGAGAGCTGCCTCTCTACAGCATCTCAAGTGTGAGAGCCCCAAAGCCCTTTATAGAGGTTAATTCAAGTTCAGGTTTTGCCTGTGAGCAAATGTAAAAATGAGGGACTGAAGGCTGAAGCAAATTGCTTATTCTCCCTTATGTGGTCCTCAGAACAGATTTCAAGCCAAACATGAAACTCCCCCCCAGTCCTTGTGCTGTGCTTAAAACTGCTCAGTCTTGTTCTGCTAAAAAGGGCAGGAGAATCTGGCATTGGTTGCTTCTCTGTTTTGGCTTCCCTGCCCCCCCCCGCCCCAATCCACAGTTGGCACTTGGGGGTCCCTGCTTCCCAGGTTTGGTCCTCCTTGGCTTGGTAGCCTGCCTGCAAATAGGAACTGAAGGCCCTTTTTGGTGCACAGGGTTTTCCTGCCCTCCTACTGCTGCTTTTTCTCTGGAGAGTAGCCTCCGACTCATTAAGGACACTGCAGATCCAAACCCTCTGTGTCTCTCAGCTCCTTATATGGTAACATGAAGAAGTCCTAGCATTTCAGTTCTGATTTGAAGTTACCCTGGTTGTCTTCTTAGCTGAGGAACTAGAAACTTTAACTTTAAAACCACAGACAAACTGGTTCTTACCACCAAGAACCCACACCTTGGTTCATGCATGTGTATGCCACTGTCTGATTACAGTCTTGCTGAAGACCAGGCTGCATCATTAACAATGAAATCGCCCTACAAAAACTTTGCAGCAGCTGGAATTTTAACCTTTTTTTTTTTTTTTTTTTTTTAATTCCCCCCCCCTTTTGGAGGGGTTCTTTAAGAGTTTTTTTTTTTCACAACAATATTGAGGTAATTTGAAAATCAATCCGTGCATTCGGTATCTTTCTTTTTTTTTTTTTTTTTTAATTCCCCCACCCTTTTGGAAGGGTTCCTTAAGATATTTGTTTTATCACAACAGCAGAAAGAGTCTGAGACAGAGGGAGGGTGCCAAGCAGGCTGTGGGGCAGAGATGGCTTTTCTGGCAGACAACACTAACACCAAGGTGATGGTGGACAGTGAGAGCAGCAGCCTGTGAAGTGGGAACACCTCAGAAGGGACTGATTACCAAACTCTGATGTTTGTCTCTGGGAAGTCCTTGAGTGACTTCACATGTATTTGTCAGAGCCTGGGATGATGCATTTTGTGCTGGGTTAGTGTAGAGTGCTTTGACAAGGTGACACGCTCCTGTGCTGGAGTCCAGCCCACCCTCCTGCAGGCTGTGTCCTCTACTGGCTACAAGCCCATCACTGGATATAGTGCTGAGGGTGCATATGCACATGAAACCTTAAAGCAAGTATCTGCACTTAATGACGTGAGACACATCTAAAGGCAGAAACAAAGGATAATGATGACTAAAGAAGCACTAGCAAATTTCAGGGGCTATGGGAGCTCAATATCTCTTCAGGGGCAGCTGCCAGCACTTGGAAAGACATAAGAGGTATCTTTTTCTTTTATGTCTTCCCTAGAAGTTTAATGCTGATGAGACACAAATCTTAACAAGCTGAGAGCTGCACCCCCTGCTACACATCCCCAGTGCCTTGTCAGCCTCAATTGTTAAAATTAACAGTGTGTTTCTTTTCCCATGGTGCAGGTTCCACCATCTCAGCAGAGCGGCTGGGGCTCTCCACACCGAGCTCACCCACCTCGACACCCAACTCCCCCACTCTCCTCTGCAGCGGCGTCTCTGACCCCATATTGTCTACGTGTGGCTCTGGCCCCCTCTGCAGCTCTATCAGTGGTAAGTGTGGTGGGAACCCCCATCTGCCTTTCCTTTGCCTCCCTCTGCCTGTTCCTGTACTGCCTCCCTTCATGGCCTCCAGCATTTTCCCCAAAGGACTCTAAAGCCACAGCGATCAAGAGTCACCTGTCAGCTCCCCAAGGGAGGAAGGGAGAGCCTCTGCAAAGTCTGTTTTCAGTCTGTTTTACATGGAAGCCACTTAGATGCCTATACAGCAATACTTCCCCAATGCTTTTCATCATGAAAGGTCCCAAGGGAGGCAGAAGAGTGTCTGTTATGTGCATGGCCCTGTGACGCACAGCTCCTTCTGGAGAGCTGTGTGGCAGTGACACGCTGCATGCCAGCTTAGACTGGAGTTACAGGTATGCCTTTCCACACACTTTCAGTACCCTCTCCAGAAAAAGGCAGTATTGGTATTTCTAATATGCCAATGAATTCCAGTGAGATTTAGATAAATATACATGCAGTAGAAAAGCTGTTCTGCAGCATTTTTATAACCCCAGGGACTTACATGATCCCAAGACATTCATGGTGGGATATATAACTTACCAAGTCCTCACTGTTGTCCAAACCACAAGTGTTTTTTGCTGAAGGTACCTATTATTGTCAAACCTAATAACTGGTGACAGCAAACATTCACATTTATAATGGGTTTTGGGAAATAAAAATAGAAATAGTCTCATTATCTTTCTACCTCATCTGGCTTCACTGGAGAGGCCTCATTATGGCTGTGCCATGAGCATAATTACTGCAGCCCCTCGTAGCTCTCAAAGCAATGCACTGACTGTGAGCTAGATGCTGTCCATGCAGGTGCCATCCCAAGGGTCCACACAGGATGATCTGTAGCCAGTCACTGTGGCCCAACATCCCTGGATCAGCCCTGGAGATGAAGTATTGCTTGTCTTGGGAGCTGCTGCCACCGTGTGCCACCTGGCCTCTCCCCTTTCAAAGCAGATGGCTTGATCTGCCTCTACTGATTTTTCCTCCTTTGTTAATGTTTAGATGATGGTTTGAAAACGTGAAACTGCTCTTTGTCCTTGCTTTGTGGGAACAGCTGCCTCTTGGCTTGCTCTGCGTAGGCAGCAGATCCCACCAGATGCTGCCTTTCTGCTGCCCTGTGCCTTGGCATGTGACCTATGGCTCAGTGAGTGGGACAGTAGGTCACAGAAGGACCCCTGATCCTGGAGCATCCATTTCTGCTAGATTCCTCCCTCTGTAGCTGGCTTCAGGGCAGAAGTTACCCTGGGATGTCAAGAAGCCTTTTAAGCAGCGTGAGTGACCCTGTTCTTTGTGTTTCAGGCACAGCTCCCAACTCTCCCATCAGCCTGCCTGAGTCACCCATCTCCCCATCCGTCTCAGGGCCCTGGGGAGATGAATGTACCATCTGCTATGAGAACATGGTAGACACAGTCATTTACTCCTGTGGACACATGTGTCTCTGCTATTCATGTGGGCTGAAGCTCAAGAAGATGGCCAATGCTTGCTGCCCCATTTGCAGAAGGGCCATCAAAGATATAATCAAAACATACCGCAGCACTTAGAGCAGCAGCAGATGCTGTGGTGGGAACTGGGTATGTGGGGAGGAGGCTGTGACACAACACAGGTCTTGGTCTCTATTAATCATCCAGGAGATTAAAAAAAAACCATCACCACCACCACCCTGAGCCCTTTTTCCCATGGACAACAGATGAGACAAGCTTTGATGCTGCTCTTCTATCCTCCAAGCAAGGCCTGGGGATGAACTCCAGTATGTCAGGGAAGTTGTGACAGTCTACTCTCCCTTGTGGATTTTAAACATTATCTGAAAAAAACCTCCAACAACAAACAACAAAAACCCAAAACAAAACAGCTGGTGCAATCATCCCTTTTCTACACCAGGCACATTAGAAGGGACTCTCCAATGTTTAGCAGAGACAGCAAGCAGTAAAAGGTTCAGTGCTAGACCTCTCCTTCCAGAAGATACCCTGCATGCAGAGGACAGCTTAGCAGAAGAGGAGAAACAACAACATGTTTCTGTGTACAGCCAGCCTGACTGTAGGAAGCCTCTTAGAAAGGATGGCAAGCTTTGACCCAGCAAGTGAGGTGTGGTGACCACATTCAAAGCAGAAAGACCATGGCCATTGCAGAAAGGATCCAGGATTTTTGAAGCAAAACCCACCTCAAGTGCGCAGGCAGAAGAGCAGCCCCATGGCAGCCCTTCAAGTTCTGTCTCCTGCTCCTCCCTCTCTGTTCCCTGGTGGAAGCATTCACTGTGGATTTGACAGTCAACTCTGGCTCTGGCTTGGCTTCCTCCCAGCAGTGTCCAGCCACCTCCTGTCACCATCCTGCTGCATGAGGCGTGGCTCTCAACCTGCATCGATTTGCTGTGGCTTGTCCTGAATGGTCTCCATGCAAGACAAGGGATTCAGCAGCATCTCTGCACCCATGGGCCTGTGGGAGAGGGAGATGTGTCTCCCTCAGCTTTCCTTCCTCTGCCATCCAGACAGCACCTGTGAGAAACAAAATAAAGGAAACAAAAAATGAAACAACCCCCCCCCCGAGTCCCCCTGGGGAAGAATGTATAAACCCACAAGTCTTTACTCTATCACTGTGCTTTAAGACAAAACCAGCCAGGTGTTACTCAGCCCTTCACAGCCAGCCCACTGGCAGGACACGGCTGTCCTTACTTGTTAGGAAGAGAGGAGAACAAAAAATAGCTTGAAGGGCTTGGCGCTCAACCAGTGCTCCACCGTGGCCACCAGCCTGGCCCAGGGCTGCTGGCCTTTGGGCAATGGTCTCCATGCAAGACAAGGGATTCAGCAGCATCTCTGCACCCATGGGCCTGTGGGAGAGGGAGATGTGTCTCCCTCAGCTTTCGTTCCTCTGCCATCCAGACAGCACCTGTGAGAAACAAAATAAAGGAAACAAAAATGAAACAACCCCCCCCGAGTCCCCCTGGGGAAGAATGTATAAACCCACAAGTCTTTACTCTATCACTGTGCTTTAAGACAAAACCAGCCAGGTGTTACTCAGCCCTTCACAGCCAGCCCACTGGCAGGACACGGCTGTCCTTACTTGTTAGGAAGAGAGGAGAACAAAAAATAGCTTGAAGGGCTTGGCGCTCAACCAGTGCTCCACCGTGGCCACCAGCCTGGCCCAGGGCTGCTGGCCTTTGGGCCTGGGCAGGGCAGCTCCAACAGCAGCAGGAACTGCCTGTCTCCCCTCCAGCCCATCCTGCTGCCTTACAGGGCCAAGCAGGAGTTAGGGATGGCATATGGGCCCCAAGGGGTGAGCAGGGCTGGGGCACAGCAGCAGTGGCATTCACCCTGCCATGTTGCCCACCAGACCAGACTTGGGAAGGCCATGGGGTTTCACCCTCCTGCCAAGCCTTTTCCTCTGCCCAGCACATGGCTGCTGGTAAGACAAGGGCCAACAGCATGGCATGGGAATAAAAGCATTTAACAGACATGCCTACTTGCTGCAGGGGGCACTGTGCCTCCCCAGGCAGCTGGCAGCTGAAGGAGCGCTCTCAGAGGCTGCTCCCAAGACACGTCCTGGGAAACACGGCCTCATCCTGGCATCCTGAGGAACCGAATTAAGAAGCTACTAGCTGGAGAGCATATTGTACAGCCTTTCTCTAAAGGCACCGCCATCACTGCAGCCTACCGTGGGGGTCTGTAGCCACCCCCCCCAGCCTGCCCTTGCAGGCACTACTAACTTGAACACTGATATTCTGGTTACAGGGATTTATATTATTTCTTTGCATACCTCTCACATACACCCCTGACCCAGCCCAGCCCTGCACTCCAGGCCAGCTGTCACAAGCCCTGGAGCACCATGGCTTCTGTGCCTGGATGGCCCAATGGGGGGTTGGAGGAGGCCAGGCTGGCAAATGCCTGGGGTGGCACAGGAGCCATGCCAGGAGCACAGCTGGTCCACAGGCATACAGTGAGCCTCCAGAATTCTTAAGGGCAGAGCTGTGGCCAGCAGACAAAGGGAGCCTGTTTCAGTAGTTACACAAACACCAGTGCAAAGATTGTAGAGAGAAGGGACCCAAGGGGTAGGAAGATAATGATGAAATAGTGGATGTGGGGAAATGTGCAATAAGCAGCCTCCCGAGCCTTCATGACACCAGTGGGACTGGTTCCCCCACTGTGCAGGGCAAGCCAAGGGGGTAAATATTATTTTTCAAGGAATGCCATCCATGGGTACCAGTGCAGTGGTGTGAATTCCCTTTTCACCTTTCAGCTTCAGAGTGTTTTATATATAACTGTGTTTGTTTTACTGTGGACCAAACTCTAGGAGTTAGCAGAAGCTGAAAACAGCCCCCAGCATCCAAGCTTAAAAATTGGGGTTATGTCCTGCTCCCAGAATCACCTGGCCTCCTATTGTGAGCAGGAAGGAGGAGAGCAAGGCTCTCACCAAGGAGGAAAAAACCCAAACAGCAAAAGCAGTAACAGTGACAACAATCCTAAACTTTTGTTTTGTTTGAGTGGTGTAGGTACCCAAGTACCTGTGTTCTTGTGTCATTTGCATTTCATTGCTTTACTTTCAGATGTTTTGTGTTCTGTTTAAAGAGACGAATAACTCATTGTGGAAAATTGGGTAACTGTGATTGTGAATAAAGTTGATTTAGGTATCCTGCAGCAGCATGAGTGACTGAGTACTTACCACTTCCACAAGCTTGGCCAAACATGGCGGACAGGGCAGTGGCAAGAGGCTGAAGTAGGAGCAACTGTGGCATGAGAGGTTTTGCCTTTTGGGGACTTTGGTGGAGAGATCTCAGGCTTTCCTTCAGTCACTGAGGATGAGGGAGAGCTGGATAATGAATAGACTCCTGCTGGACCCTATATACACATAAAGAATAAAAGTGAGGACTAATCTCATTATTGTGGCTTAAGCCCCACACTTCTGAGCCTTTTCAGACCCTCCCCAGAGAGAAGCCTCATTTCTTACTCTCATGGTCTTGTTTGCAGTGTCTCTCCTGAGTGCTGTAATCACAAAAAGAAAAGCTCTCAGCACCAGGAGAAAGAGAAAATGTACTGCAAGGAAGCTCAGAATCATGCTGCTCAGCCTGGTAGGAGAGGTGAGGTGGCTGAAAACGAAGCAGAGCAATAGCAAAATAGCCTGGTGGCCCCACCCCAGTTCTATAGAGACACGACAGCCCAACACCAGACAGGAAGATACCAGCCTTGCACTGAGCAGCATGTTGCAAAGGCCCACTGACAAACTGATCTGGACAAGGGAGATGCTGAGGCAAATGCAGATGCTTCCTGGGAACCAAGGGATTTGCAGTCTCCAGATTGATGCCAGCTCCCCTGAAAACCAGTAGCTCCTCTGCTGCAGGGATCCTCTCAGGAATACACCAACAAAACAGCCATGTTAGATTTCCTCCCCATCCTTTTGTTCAACTATTCAGTAGATGGGAGACTACCTGGATCACCCTCTCCTGTCACTTGACATATTTAAGTTGGCATCTTCTTCTTCAGCATGGGTGCTCCGTCTGCCAAGGGACAGGGACTTCCCAGGAGAGGTGTCCTCAGCATCTCTAGCTGAAGCTATTCCACTCTAACAGCTTCTCAGTGGCCTAAAACTTCCCAGGCTGGGTAAAGCAAAACCACTTCTGCAACCTAGCTTTCTCCAACACCAATCTGAGGAGCTCTTGGCTGTTTTGGGACAAGGCAAAGTGCACGTGGCTGTGCTGCACACCAAGAGCTTTGCCCAGCTTCTGCTTTCCTAGGGACAGATGGACATCTCGTGGGTCTGGAAAGCACTGCCTAGTCACAGCCCAGCTATGAGAAGCTATCACATCCCCTCAGGAGCATAGGGGAGAGTTGCACAACACAGACTGTCCCTAGAAACTGGGGACACTGACTTTCTAGGCAGCCCCTGCCATATATCCTGAGCCCAAGCACTACCATATGAAGTGACATGCTAAAGCTCTAGGACAAACTCAGATCCTTTGCACTTCTGGCTTCAGCAAGAGGCACTAGGGTAGGTCACCCCACAAGCTTCTCCTCCAGCAGCCCATGCCTGTTAATTCCCTCCTGCAGCTGACACTGCACTAGCCCCAGTGAGCTCTGAACCCCCATCTGCTGAGCATCACCCTGCCCCAACCCCTCACCCCCACCCCAGGCCATCACCATCAGCTCACCTCCTCCAAACCAGATAAGCAGTTCACTCACAAGCATTTCTCCATCAAGACCAAGCATGACACAGCACAGACCTTCCCCAGCAACAAGAGATGCCACCACAGCAGCCCCTCGCTGCTCCAGGCAGGGCCATCCCCAGGGATCGCGCTGCTGCGGGGCCGAGGAGTTGGAGAAAGGAGGATGCTCTGAAAGTGGTCCAGGAGGTGCAGAGCTGGTTCATCATCGCCACCTGGTGCTCCGTACCCGGCATGGCACACAGCCTCTAATGGCTTTTCCTTCTCTTTGGTTTGGTTTTTGTTTTGTTTTGTTTTTTTTCCCCTTTCTCCTAAGGTTGATTTTACGCCTTGTCAGAAATACTAAAAATATACGTAAATATATGGTGATTGCACCAGTCCAGAAGACGCTTTCAGCCCCAGGCTGGCTGGCTCACTCTACACACACACAGGAGAAGAGGGGGCACAGATCCCAGGCACACTTGTCACTGACTTAAAACCCCCAGAACTGCATGCTGCCACAGATGTAATTCCTGGCATGCTTCAGAGAGCTGGGGTGCCCAAACAGGATTCCTCCTGCATTACCTGCTCACATGCCAGAACGGAGCAACATCTTGTGGGCACTGTTAGCAAACACTGTGCACCCATGTGAGCTGGCTCATTTTGGGAGCCTGGCTG